CAAGCTGACACCAAGCTAAATTTCGTCCAACATGATTCTATCAGAGAATTGAACGTTGATTGGACCTTATTAGATCCAAGCAGAGTTCTTCAAGTTCTTTTGAATCTCATGACCAACGCCATCAAATTTACCCGGACGGAAGAAGTCCGTCGGATCACCGTCACCATGGCCGCCTCTCTCAAAAGGCCATCTTCCCAAAAAACGATTGTCGAATATGTACCCAAACATCAAAGTAGCTCTGATCAAACTGTGAAAGGTGAATGGGGAGATGGGGAGGTCCTTTTTATATCTATCACCGTCACCGATTCCGGTCGAGGCCTCTCGGAAAGCGAAAAAGCAAATCTTTTCAATCTCTTTATGCAAGCGTCTCCAAAAACCCATGTGCAATATGGGGGAAGTGGATTGGGACTTTTTATCTCGAGACAACTCACTGAAATGCAAGGCGGTGAGATTGGAGTGCATAGCGAACGGGGAAAAGGGAGCACGTTTCAGTTTTATTTGAAGACCAGGAGGACGACTCCGCCGCTTGATTTGCAAGCTTCGGAAGATAGTATGAAAAAGGATTTACAAATGGCGTTGAGGGATGATGCGCTCAGAGAGGCGTGCGGATTTGAAATATCAAGTTTGAGTCATGGGGATACGGTACATAACGGTACGGGTGGAGTGATGGTGAAAAAAAATGATGCGAAAATTCCCATAAGACCTTCGCCGATGAGGAGGATAAGCTCTCGAATATCTCCTATGGGTATTAAAAGAAGAGCGAAAGGGAATCAGGATGATGGTGGAGACGGAGTGGAGGTACCGTTAGAAGTGTTGGTCGTGGAGGATAATTTATTGAATCAAAAAGTGCTGGTGAAAAGTTTGAGGAAAGAGGGATATGGAGTCAACGTTGCAAACCATGGTGGGGAAGCCCTAGAATTTCTTAAAGAGACAACGTTTTGGGTTGGGGAGGGTGGCGAGGAAGGGAACTCAGTATGTACTTTCTTTTTCTTATTCCCCCTGTTTTTCTACGACTTTTCCGTCACTAGCGAAGAAGTATGCAGAGTGCCGGCGGGAAGTGATTTGGCATTTGCAGAATAACCGAGCAAAGCTAACACATATTGTTTAGAAGAAACCACTCAACCTCATACTCATGGATTTAGAAATGCCCATTATGGATGGCATCACCTGTGTCAGACAGATTCGGAAGTGGGAGATTCAGGGCATGATAAAGGGGCATGTCCCGATCATTGCTGTGACTGCTAATGCGAGGAAAGGTAGGCTTTTAATCTTCTATCTATATACTTTATTCATTATATCCACTATATGTACCCAACCCCGCTATTAATTCACATAGGTTGGATTACGTACAAATGGGGGTTTATATTGACAGTATCGAAATACTAAGCTAATCAATGACATGATTCTGAAATAGATCAAATACTGAGCACGATCGAAGCGGGCATGGACGATGTAACGACAAAACCATATCGCATCCACGATATGCTGAAACAGATCGGGACGTTGGTTACTCGGTATCCGAAGACTGAGAGCGAGAGCGAGATGAAGAATTCATCACATACGACGCACATCTCAAAACCAAATACGCAACGTGCAAAACCTACAAATGCGAATACTTTCGAGAGACATACATCGCAAAAGAGCATAACGATTGCATCTACGAGTCCTTCGAGTCCTTCGAGGAAGAATCCTACGAGTCCTTCGAAGAAGAATCGCAAAATTGGGAGTTCTTCTTCCGTGACGTGGAATGAAGACCCGGATTTTCCCATTCCTTGAGGAGCTGGTTTGGCTCAGCGTGTTATTAACAACGAAGACCTTTTTATGCATGTTTTTTGACTTCCCTTTCGTCATTCTATACACATACACATATTACATATACTACACACGAATCCAGACAGGCATCAAGCGAGAATTCGGAGTTTCGGATCTTCCACCAGAACGGAAATCAAAAGCGCAATCGGATAGGAGTTTGCCTTTCTCACATTACGATATCACGGACAAGACACGGGAATATGTATTTTTGGTGGTCATTTTGTTTTATCATTAAGCCGCGAGCGGCGAGTTTTTGTTTGAAGATTTTTTTGAGGTTATGATGTTATATACCTAGGCTACCGTTCTAATTCCTTCATGCTTCGTGCATGCTTCATGTGTCGTTTCTGCGTTATGCGTTATGTATTATGCGTTAGATCGTTAAAAGGTCAAGGAAAGGAAAGGAAATATGATGAGATATCATGGGTTTTGGAACGGGTTTACATTTGATCGTTAGAATGGGAAAATAAGATGAGATAAGGAAAATTTGGCAAGAGGGAAAAATAGACTAGAGGTTCTTCATGTCCAGGAAATAGAGTTCGAGGAGGATAGAAGCTGCGCGGGGGAAGTTGGAGGGTGTGAGTCTGCAGTAGTGGTTTCTGTGTGGAGTTAGATTTTGAGGTGGGAGGGTAGATGAGGGAAAGATTATTTGTGAGGAAGGGGAGGTTTCAGACTGGAAATGGTTCGAGGAACATGAGGGGAGAAAGGGTCATCTGATGTTGACTCTTTGGGGTTCATGGGTTCAAGAAAATGACCATGGTGTTTGAAGGAGGAACAGATAAGGAGGAACAAGTAGAAAGGGGTAATAGAGTACATAAGGCGAAAGAGCATAGAAAAATGACTTACACCAACAGATGGAAGATTTTCAAAATTCCATTCAGCGATCCCCCCTTAGTCCCAGCAAATCCTTTGAAGTCTCCGAATATATCCTCGTGCCATTTCTTTTCCAATTTTTTCGCCTCTTTCTCAACTTTATGTTCGCGCTTCTTTTCCTTTCTTTTAGAAGCCCGATTTCCAAGGAAATGTTTCACTCCTTTCACGGTTTTGACAACTCCGGTCCCGAGTAAAATAGGGATGAATGATAATAACCCGGTTTTGATAGGATTTGCTCGTATCCAGGAGAAGAGAGAGCGGATCCAGGATGTGAAGCGCGAGGCGACGCGTCTTATGAAGCCCGGACGAGGTTTAGGACGGGAGAGGGAGTAGGGAGAAAGAGGTCTTTTGAGGGGAGACGAGATGCGACCTGGGATGGGAGAGGAACGGCGGCGGATAGGTTGAGGTTGGGATTGGGGATAGGATTGAGAGGTATGGGAGGGAGGGTTGTAGTAGGGATTTGTGCCGGTTGTGGAGGGGAGGGTGTTGGGGATGGGAGAGCTGGAGCGGCGGGGAGGAGGTCCGGGGTGGGAGGGCTGCAAGGGGTTGTAGGTTTCTGGGTAGGGGTGGGGTTGAGGGGGATGGGAGGGAGAAACGGGATCGGAGGTTGTTTGCCAGTAGGTTTCTTGGGCGGGTCGATGGGCTAGTGGAGGATTGTCATAGCTGTAACTTTTTGCATTTGGGCCTTGCGCTTGGAAAGATTCGACGGTGGTAGGCTGGGGAGGACCGGCAAATTGAATTGCATTGGGGTGGTTGTAAGATGGGTCTTGAGATGTAATGCCGAAGAAATCTTGGGGGTGTTTGTCGATGGGTTTATTAGAACTAGTCGCTGGATACCCGGATGCCCATGCTTCTGTGGAGGCGGGAACAACGGTCGATGCGTTTGTGAAGGATGAATAGATGGTAGATTTATGATCGTTGTGATCGTTGTGGAAAGCATATGAAGTTGGAGCTTCGTTGCGTGCCCCTCCTAAGTTATGATCATTATGATAACCGTGTTTGGGAGAACTCGTGGAGGGAGGGGTGGGGTATCGCTCCATTTCTGCGGAGTCGGTCTGTGTCTGTACTAGGTATTCTTATCCTCGATTAATGAGATTAATCAATATCAATTGAAGTCCGGATAGTCAGAATATGTGCAGATATGTTATGCGTATGTATGTATGTGTGTCTCGAAGAAGTATAGGACGGGTCTTAATGGAAGAATGGACCCAGACTATCAAGATATGAAGCTTGTGAGAGGTGAAGAAAGAGAGGAGGTGAGGTGTGAGAGAGAAGTTGATGGATTCGTGGATTAAGGTGGTTGGACCATGTGGGGATGTTTGTTGATAGTGATTGGTTGGATGGTGATATGATATGTGAGATAAGTCTGATCAGATGGTGTATTTGAGGATTCTCATATTTTCAATTAAAGCAAAACATGACAACGACAACGACAACGACGACATCAAGTGGTGAAAGTGTTCTCATCCATCATTCCAATGTAAAGATTGCTCCGAGTAAATTAAATTTGTTTCGGAATAAAGGATGACGCCCTGCCAACGTTGTACGATTAACGGATAACCTTGACGTCCATAGGCACAACATCTTTCTCTTCATATTCATTGGAACAATCATTTCCCACTGTCAATTCTACTTGTAGATCTGCCGGAAGATCAGGATCATTATGGTACAACATAGTATTGATGCCCCCGAAGCTCTCAGTCGTGATTACAGACGCTCAGAGCTTTGATCTTCCAGCCGTTTGGTACGAGTGGGTGCTCCCTGCGAAATTCCTCCATTTCAAGTCTTCATCGCTAGGTTTGATGTACTTCTTGTCAGCTTGTAGGTTTAAAGAATTTTCGACAAGCATACAAACCTTGAGGATATGCATAATCCAAGGGCTCCAACGATTAATCAGGGCCGACAAGCGTGTCTGCCATGTGCCACCTTAGACTCAGGAATTGTATGCATCCATTCGACACAGATGCCATTAATTTTCGCTGCTTATCTCAGATTCTCAAAACTAGCAAGAATCTTCCATCCAGCATCCAGGCATTAAAAAGGCCATTGGCAGCTCTGCATCCTTGTGTTTCGCCCCCATCGATCAACTATCGAGCTTTCAGCTACACGCCCGGATGACACCGCTTGAATATTCTGAGAATAGGGGTTAGTTTTCCACCTTGAGAATAATGGTTCATCACTCAAGGGTAAGGTGCAGTAAATGCAATTATATAAAGTGAATTTTCTTCGAAATTGACCTGCAAAATGTTCGTTCACCAAATCATCCGTCATACAAGTCTTGATAAAAACATTGCTTCGTCTTTCCTCGCTCCATACCAATGTCTTTCTCGGCTCTTCCCATTCCAGTCAAAAATGTCAAGGAGAAGACTGAGAAGCCGAAAGTGGCAGTTCGGAAGGATAGATGGAAAGTCCTTCAAAAAGCCGGTACACATGTACTACCTATTATGATCACTATTACTTTATTGTTCTTGAATGGGTATAACACATACGCGAACTCGTTGGGTATTGCTGACGCAAAAGTAAATACTCGGCTCAATGGACTGCAATTCGTGGCCAAAGTCCACGAGATACTTATCGGGATTTCTTTGTCAACAATTATATTGTCTTTTTTACAGCATGAAGCTTTACGTCAAGGAATACCCCTTGGGGGATTTCTCATTGCTTTCAGAATCACCGATCTTGGGTCGCTTGTCAGCCCGGAGTTGTGGGCTGCAGGTACATTTGGACATCATTTCAAGCGTCGCTTGTTATTTATTGTCATGTCACTCTTTGCTATGATCCTAGCTGCTGTCTCTGGACCTGCGTCTGCAATATTGATGTTGCCATCTTTGGACTGGTGGATTGTCCCAACGACAAAATATTCGTCCTGGTCTACTACCCATTTTACCCTAAACGCAGAAAAGTCTCAAGTTTGGCCTAAACAAGTCGATAATTCGAGCTTTGATACGTTCTGCGCTTCCGAGTCTAACAAATTCTCAGACAATTGCGCAGCAGGTGGCTTCTCGGCAATCCGGGCATGGGTTGACAGACCCAGTTCACAAGAATCACAGTATTCGTGGAACATTACCATGCCAATGAACTCAAAACAAGCTTCCTACAATCGATTCATTGGTGGCGCATCAAGCTTTCAAAGAGATCTAAAGATGGATGGCTTCTATAATACATATACTTGGTGTTTGAGTCAAACTGTATCTGTACCAACAGGCTCACTTGTCACATCAGTTGCCCAGATGGTGGGGTCACAAAATGAAACATCCAGATTTCAAGCATTGATTAACGGCGAAGATCCTCCTGCACCACAGGTAGTTGCAGCTTGCATGGGCAGGGACTATAACATAACAAATGGATCAATCAAAGGATACAAGACGCTCGATGATCTACCGCTGCCATTCTTAAACAGAGATACGTCTCAGGGTAGATATGAGCAGTCAGAAGTTCGACATGCACTTCAGATGTGGGATAGCGCTCGGGGAGGACCCTCAGCGACATGGATGCAGCCTAAAAATAAGACTGCCAACTCACCATCCATAGGGGTCGTAATGTTTGATCGTTATCAAGGGGGTTTAGGTGTGCAGAATAACCTTACTTCCATTACTAATAGACAGAGTTGGTACCTTGTTCGCATTTCCTCGTGTTCCTTGTTCGCTGGGTGGCAGGCGTCTAAACTCTACATTGACCCCACAAGAGATAGGTATATCCATTCACCTAGCACCACCAATCCAACACAGAGTCTTGATAATTGGATGCGAGATTTTACTGATTCAACGAAAACCATGCGTACAGTGCAAATCGATGCCAAGTGGGCAAATGCTGCCTTGCCACCAAATGATATAATATTGCCTCTGGCATCTTCTTCATTTGGTACCAACAACGATAATCCATTAGGCATGATAGCGACAACTTTCATTTCAGATACAATGTCAAGGATTCCATACATGATGAACATAGGTTTCAAAGTCTTGATTCCTACGGTGGCACCGAACCATAACTTTACTACTTTATCCGATGTTCCCAAAGAAGTTACAGATATCCACATTAAGCGCTTCCGTTATGGCTACAGTTACTCTCTCCAAGGCTCTACGAGAAGTTTGGCAGTATTCATTCTTGTTCTACACATGTTATTAGCCCTAATACATGCGGTGCTCATTTATTGGCACGGATACACAAACAATATCCTCGAGTCACTTACTGAGATCCTCGCACTTGCAATCAACTCTCCGCCATCATCGAATCTTGATAATACATGTGCTGGAATTGAGAGGGTCAATACATACAAAAAGATTATAAGAGTCCGAGAGGTATCTTCCTCGCATTTGGGATTGATTGTTGGTGATGACGGTGATATTACCACTGAAGAGGTGATGGCGGATAAGAAGTATGGATGTCTACGAGAGGAGTGAAAGGCGCAATATAAAGAAGATTGATACAGAGGTTTGGAAACAGGGGAAATCTGCATATTCAGATCGCCATGAGCAGCAATTCGTGCGTGCTTTAGATCGAGGGTTGGCTTTAGATGACAGACACTACAGACCAAAATCGTTGGGTTATATATTTTCTGGGTGTATCTCCAAGGTTTTGGACTGTAAATCCAGACTCGCACAGCTTGGACAATGTTACACAAATTTCAAACTCCCGCGATAGGACCAGTATGACACCCTACCCAAGGCAACATAATGCAATGAAGGAAAATAACGGTACCTCCAAAAATCAAAAGGCGATAGTTGAGGAAAACGGAAAGAAGCTGAAATGTTTCCGGGGGGTGTAGATTAGTGATTGGTTGAATCTGACAGGCGAGAAAGGGTTTTGACAATTATCCGCTTCCTAGAGCTAATGTATACAAGGAAAGAAAAAAATTCTTTTGGGTGCGAGATGGTAGCACTAAGATTCAGAAATATCGCCAGGTAGCGTTGGGCCAGCCATGCCCATGGTTGTGATGCAAGTAGCCTTCTAGCCTCCCCAATAGAATCCGTGGTTGGCGGGAGATGGAGCAAATCGTAATTGCAACATCACGAAATCGGAAAAAGCAATATTGTCCTTGTCATCCCACTTACCCACGACACATGTAACAAGTACAACATAAGCAATATAACAATAACTTCACAGAAAGCTTCGGTTATATCCATCCGAAGATTCCAAGGGAAAGGGGAAAGAAAATATAAGAGGTTACGCATAACAGTCCACCTTTGAAGATATCTTTGCCACAAGTATGAGGGAAATCAAGACAGAAATTCTCAACACAGAAAACCAAATCAGCGATTTGGTCGATTGGCTTATCTTCCGCCACGCATCGCCAGATTTGTACGAGCCAATTATGTACATTGATCTTGAAGGCGTAGAACTCTGCCGTGAGGGCTCGCTTTTCATCCTTACCCTTCTGATTGATACAGGGACCCCGAGCACGCGCGTCTGTCTTATAGATGTATATTTTCTACGCCCACTAGCAATCAATACCACTGGCATTAAAGGAAAGACACTAAAGGATATTCTCCAAGACGGAAAGATCCTCAAGTTCTTTTTCCACGCTCGCAACGATTGAGATGCCTTGTATGCACATTTTGGCGCGGCGCTACAAGGGGTATAGGATGTTCAACTTATGGAGGTGCTACGAGGACGACGACAGGTTCTAGGAAGTTTCTGAATGGTTTATCGAAATGTATTGGGCAAAGCGGGTTGGAGAGCCGCGAGCTAACAAACTGGAAGCTGGCAAAAGAGAAATGAGGTCGATTGTTTAAGGCCGAATTTGATGATTCCTACGAGGTTTTCCAGCAACGACCAATTTGTAACGACATCATCTCCTATTGTGTTGGGGATGTCCAGCACCTTCCTAAACTGTGGAGCAAATTCCATTCGTGAACCAACGGGCGGCAAGATTTGGTTAGCAAGGAAACCAAGAAGCGTGTTGATGCATCTCACAAGCCGGAATACCAGCCTCATGGCCCAGATAGAACTTTAGCGCCGTGGAGTGAAGAGCACAATAAAATTTTGGATGAGTGGAATTACGTTGCGCCTCCTCTATACTTTTTGGATGAAGATTATGGTTGGAATGATGAGGAGGAATATGAGGATGATGATGACTGGCCTACTAGCTGTAGGGATATTATAAATGATTGCGATTATCACTATTATTGTTCTGACTGAGCGTTGTTGGATGGTGATTACAGTTAATACTTGGGTCCAATGTTGCCAGACTACTGTACTGATGGGACATTTAAAGAGACTTTCTGCATGTACTTGTACAATCGAAGCATGTTGGAATATTACACAGCTCAGATACAGGGAGATATCTTCAAAATGCAATGTCTTGCAGAATCTCTTCACTCCAGTAGATATTCATTCAGATTTACTCACTATTTCTCCACGACGCTGTCATATTGAACATATGAATATGATCGTGACAACCTCGCAGGTACAGGCTTCTCATATGATGAAACTCCAATGAGAAGTAGAGTGCCCAAGATAAAAGCGTGTGTCACATATCAATGCCGGGGAATACAGAATGCAAGCCAAGAGACGTAGCAATCGGGAATATCGGCTAGCGCTTGGCCCCCTGTACACTTCTGTGTCAAGCTAGCGTTTCTTTCTACATCCTCCAGCCTCTTGATCTGATGCGAAGTTTACCTTTGAGTCTTGTGTTGCAGTCGAATTTCACTTCAAGCCTATCCTGGCTGGCACTCTCATATTCACTTTTTCGGCTTCGATGGCCTTTAGATTTATCTCTACTAGCAATTGCTCAATTTCTTCCAACTCTTCAACTGCAAACACAGAGTTAGTCTCCCTTATTCATGATACAAATTCATTCAAGCGAATTCGGCATGACCGATACTATTTCAATCTATCTCAAATGACTTCAAGCGCGGCCTCTCCATTCAAACTGATCCATGTCTCGACGACTCGCAATTAACCCCTTGCTGGTACTATTAACTTCAGCACAGTCAAATCGGCAATCCTTCCAAAGCCTGCACCTAACTCGTAAAAGGTAAGCAAACGTAGATAATCCGTCCTGCGTGACATCCAAAGTGACATCTCCGTTTCCAGTGGACACACTTCTCGCAGAATGGCCAAGATCCCTAGTATAGTCAAGCCTCCCGATTTCAGCACCTGCATTGCGAGAAGACCGAGTTTGCGATTATCCGTTCCTTTTTTCCAACAAAATTGGATAGGTAAATGGTAGATCAAAGATATTCTCGCTACAAGGGAATCATTGTAGTGAGCGCTGAGTTGATAATAAAATAATATTCACCAATCTGATCTTTGCACAATAGAATTTATGTCCTAGCAATTTTATAAGCTAATCTTGGGACAGGGTCTGTGAAGGAAAACCTCATATTTCTACTTGGCAGAAGCGTATGATTGGCCTACCGTTATAAACGCCATCTAGGAAGTTCCATGATCGCCTGTGAAGTGGCGCTCGTAAGGAGATCGTGACTTTCAATGACTAAAGAAATAGCTTGCTAAAAGAAATGTAGTTGAGAAGGAGTGGCGATAGAATGGAATGAATCCTAGGACTTAAGGGAGTAAAGCTGGTTTTGATGGTAGAAGACTTATCTCAAATGACAAGCGGTATTCTCTACACAGCGCAGGGTGATCTATAGTGAAGCACAAACCGATACATTGATGCTTTTAACAGTTCCAAATACAAAAATGCATTCTCGATAGAAAAAATGTTGTCATGAATAGGAATTCGAGTGAGTTATGATTGTGAGTCCCTCTCTTCCTTGAATATTTCTATGCAATTGTCGTGGGACTATTCCGTTGAATCCGTTCTTCCTGCTAAAGAAACTATAGATGATAACTTTGATGAACACTTTCCGGGATGGGACATTCCACCAGCTTTGGTTGATGATATAACACAGATTGGAAATCATTGGAAATATTAGATAGGATATTGAATATTAGTAGTTGGAAAGACAAAGTATTATTAGCTACTACTTAAACCATACGCGGAATAATCTCACAACTTTTGATACCGTGATATTTTCTTCAATGATGATAGAAAATGATTTTCCCATCTAATATTCTTCAAAGAAAAAGCAAAACCCGGGCATACTTTTCTCGAGTCTTTTGTTCAGATTAGGACGAATTCAAACATTCAACCTCTTGTTACAAATAAATCAAGGAAATCAAAACATGGACGAAATATCAATATACACGAAGCTCCATAGGTAGATATACCGAGAGCGTCGAAATAATAATCTCAACCCCCTCAAGCCCCTCACCACATCTCAGCCCCAGCCAATCCCCTCATCAAGCAAGCCATAATCAACTCAAGTGTCACGGCCCACAAATTACGATGTGCAACAAAGACACCTCTCTACCCTCCCATTCCCTTCCGAACAGAAAGTGGAGAGAAGCGGAGTTTTTGTGGAAACAGGAGGGGGCATGGTGGTATTCGAAGGCATGGGACATGAAGAATAGAGGGGAAGATCCAGGGCAGTGCGGGAAGAGTGCGGGAAGCAAGAGCATTGATTTAGGCGCTATGTCGATATTGGGTATTGGGGATCAGCTCTTCCGGTCTGGGTCTTGGATCGTGATGGGTGTGGGGTTGTGGGGTAGATTGGGGTGAGATTGTGGTCTAGATGCGGCTGGGGAGTGGGCGAACTTCTGGAGACGCTTTTGGGGTTGGGGGAATGGTTGATTTCGTGGATGTTGGGTGGGGAAATGGAGTCGCATTGAGGAAGAATGTGAACTCATCGGAAATTTGCAAATATCCTGCAAAATATCTTTTCCTCTCCTTGCGTAACCTTTCTCCACCTACACACATAGCTAACTTCCTCTCCTGGAAAGAGAGGCCTTTCAATGCCCTACCCAGTCAGCACTTATACCATCTCAATATCTGATACATGATGCCAAGAATGCGGCGTCCAATTGCACAATACTTCTTTCTTCCGGAAATCTCTTCTTCAACCAAGAAAGTTCCGTCGCGACCATCGGATAGAAGACTCCGATAATCATTCCGAGTGATGAGTCGCTTGGAACTTGGCGAGCGATGTAACTAGAGGTTTCTTACGGGATGATACACGTGCGGGATTCGTTCGCTCGGGGGATTGGGTAGGTAGCTTCTGAAATACTTAGGTCAGGGTGAAATTGTTTGTGGTATGTTTCATGTAATCCCAGGGGTTGAGTGCTGATACTTTGAAAAGGGGGTTTCTAGCTATACGTGTCCTTCTCCCTGCCCCAAAAATGTACATCGCAATATCCTTAATCTGATAGTCGACGCCCTATCAGTTAGCACGCACGATTAGAACGATTACTGTCAATTGACCCGTGGCCTGGTCTGACTAGCTAAGAGGAATAATCGACAAGCTCAATGATCTAGATTGGTCGATTGACTTAGGTTTATTCATTACTGTACCGTAAAGAGCCAAGGTCCAAAGGAATGTCTGGCATTATCAAACTCAACATAACATCAATCTAACGATATTATCGGGCAACTGGTTCTCACGAGTGCCTAATTCAGCCCAAAGGTCTATCTAAGCCACCATTTCATTCTCCGATCTTCAATTCCCAATATGAGCCCCAACTTAAACAGACTTTTCTGCAGCGTGGTAAGCGAAGCCTAGTTACCAAGTATCTTTCATGAGTGATGAGTCCTTTCCAGAGCAGGTGTCTTTAGTAAGAAATGGTATTCAACTTAGGAGAAAGGTCTTTGAAGAAATTCCAGGGATGTCATAACAGCTAACTCGAAACATCTGATAAAGAATTGACACTTTTCATACACTCGGTAACATTGACAACAGACTCGCGAAGTGTTATTCTACTCTGAGAGATTATCTTCAGCTGGCATTCGATTATCCTGTCAAAACTCAATTATCTTAGCACGGCCTGGGAAACACTTTTCTATCTATACCTCTCTCGCAGTTGACTTACGCTACTCACATCTGCACCTCATCACTGGTATTTGCTCTACCTCCACATCACCCACTGCAGTCTTTGCAGCACTCAACTCTGTCACATTACAGCATACAGTGTCACCCCATTCACATTAAACCAAGATGCACAAGTATGTAATGAATGCAATGAATAGTATTCACTAGCCTAATAATCATGGCTTTCCTCGAAGTCTTCTTTAAAGAATGTCCCCAAGTCTAAAATACACACAAATGAAGCTCCACCACAATCATTTCATTCCAGGACGTCAAGGGTATAGCTCGCAAATGTCTTCAAATTTAATCAAAGACCAAGCGAAGTCCAGGCCGAGGTGAGCCAGGGTCGCATGAAAATCCACCCATCCATTCATTTATTCTATGATAATCGTCCATTTCCCGCCCACATCCAAATCCATATCAGATATTGTTCGGGAAAAAGAAAAGAAAAGTCCAATGAAATCCCCAGATGGTATCATATCGTAAGATCAGAACAGCCATTATAGAATCGTTTTCAGCAACCCAAGCCAACCAATAGCTTCCCCCACCGACCAAAGTATGAAATTTTCATAACCAGATAGTGTTTTGTATGCCGCTCATGCGCCTGAAAATGTAGGTAGTAGAAAACATACGCAGAAACGCGATTTTGTTCGCTAGTATTGGCACAAAAAAT